GGGAATGGAAAGGGAAAGCGGGTTCGCCGGGAATGCCAGTCCCGGGTGGGGGTGGAATTCCAGAGGGATCCCAGAGCCCCTCCCGGGACTTTTGGGATTGGGACAAGGGAATTCATCGGGAAAGGAGCGGCGGGTTCCCCGGGAATTCCAGTCCCGGGTGGGATTCCAGAGGGATCCCAGAGCCGCCCCCCGGGCAGCTCCGGCGACCTTTGGGGTTGGCACAAGGGAATTTGTGGGGAAAACAGATTTGGGAAGCCGAAGGAAACCCGGGAAAGGAGCGGCGGGTTCTCCGGGAATGCCAGTCCGGGTGGGATTCCAGAGGGATCCCAGAGCCCCCCCCTGGGCAGCTCCGGCGACCTTTGGGGTTGGGACAAGGGAATTCATCGGGAAAACCGGGAAAGGAGCGGCGGGTTCTCCGGGAATGCGGCGAAGGGGTTAAAGCCGGCCTGGAGGGTGAGCTCAGGTAGGCCGGGCCTGGGGCTCCCCTTTCCAAAGGCTCCTTTTCCAAGGAATCCGGGCCCGGAGGAGGGGCCGGGCCGCCCATTCCCGCCGCTATAAAAAATCCCGCAATTCCAGCCCGCGGCTCCCGGAGGACGCGCACGTGCGCCGGGAGCGGCGGCGAGCCCGAAAACCGGGAATAAACCGGGATAAACCCCCCCCCCACCTCCCCACCAACTCCCAAACCGGGATAAAAAACTCCCAAAACCCGGGATAAACCCTCCATCAAACCGCTGCGCCACCGGGATAAAACCGGGACTTAGACCTGAACCGCCGCGACAAAACCCCTAAAAATCGGCTCGAAAGCCCCAAAAAGCCGGGAGAGAAGAGGGATAAAAACCCCTAAAGCGGATCGGCGAGAGCCATGAGCGGCCGCAGCTGAGCACCCCGCGGCATTCCCGCTTTTCCCAGCGGCAATCCCCCCCCTTCCCCGGCTTTTCCAGCATGTCCTTCGCCATGCTGCGCTCGGCGCCGGGGCGCTTCCTGTACCCCGAGATCAGCGCGCTGTCCGAGGACGAGGAGAACAGCGAGAGCTCGGGCTCGGAGGAGAAGCCCTTCCACATGGAAGGCGGCGGGTTCGGAGAGAAGGGAGGCAAGCGGCGGAGCGGCAAGAGCCGCGGGAGGATGTCCCGGGAGCCGCGGCAGCGGCACACGGCGAACGCCCGGGAGCGGGACCGCACCAACTCGGTGAACACGGCGTTCACGGCGCTGCGCACGCTGATCCCCACCGAGCCGGCCGACAGGAAGCTGTCCAAGATCGAGACGCTGCGCCTGGCCTCCAGCTACATCTCGCACCTGGGCAACGTGCTGCTGCTCGGCGAGGCCGGCGGAGGAGGAGGAGGAGGAGGAGGAGGAGGAGGGCAGCCGTGCCACGGCGGGGCCGCCGCTTTCTGCGCCGCCGCCGCCGCCGCCGCAGCCGCCGCCGCCGGGGGAGCGTCGCCGCCCGGCCGGGAGGCGGAGAGCGCGCAGCCCCGGCAGATCTGCACCTTCTGCCTCAGCAACCAGCGGAAAATGGTGAGCGAGGCTGGGGATAACGGGAATACCGGGATAGACTGGGGTGTACTGGGGTGTACTGGGGTGTACTGGGGTCCGGGAATGCCGCGGGGATAGAGGGAATAGGGAGCAGGATAGAGGGAATAGGGAGCAGGATAGAGGGAACAGGGAGCGGGATTGGGGAATCGTGGCATGCCCAGCCCCAGCAGATCTGCACCTTCTGCCTCAGCAACCAGCGGAAAATGGTGAGCGAGGCTGGGATACCGGGAATATCGGGAATACCGGGGGGTACTGGGGTGTACTGGGGTCCGGGAATGCCGCGGGGATAGAGGGAATAGGGAGCAGGAGAGAGGGAATGGGGATTGGGGAATCGTGGCATGCCCAGCCCCAGCAGATCTGCACCTTCTGCCTCAGCAACCAGCGGAAAATGGTGAGCGAGGCTGGGATACCGGGAATATCGGGAATACCGGGGGGTACTGGGGTGTACTGGGGTCCGGGAATGCCGCGGGGATAGAGGGAATAGGGAGCAGGAGAGAGGGAATGGGGATTGGGGAATCGTGGCATGCCCAGCCCCAGCAGATCTGCACCTTCTGCCTCAGCAACCAGCGGAAAATGGTGAGCGAGGCTGGGATACCGGGAATATCGGGAATACCGGGGTGTACTGGGGTGTACTGGGGTGTACTGGGGTCCGGGATAGCGGGAATGCCGCGGAGATAGAGGGAATAGGGAGCAGGAGAGAGGGAATGGGGATTTGGGAATCGTGGCATTCCCAGCCCCGGCAGATCTGCACCTTCTGCCTCAGCAACCAGCGGAAAATGGTGAGCGAGGCTGGGAATAACGGGAATAACGGGAATACTGGGAGTAATGGGGTCTGGGATAGCGGGAATAGAGGGAATAGGGAGCGGGATTTGGGGAATCCTGGCATGCCCAGCCCCGGCAGATCTGCACCTTCTGCCTCAGCAACCAGCGGAAAATGGTGAGCGAGGCTGGGGATACCGGGAATAACGGGAATACCGGGGTGTACTGGGGTGTACTGGGGTGTACTGGGGTCCGGGAATGCCGCAGGGATAGAGGGAATAGGGACTGGGATTGGGGAATTGTGGCATTCCCAGCCCCGGCAGATCTGCACCTTCTGCCTCAGCAACCAGCGGAAAATGGTGAGTTTGGGATAGAGGGAATGGGAAGCAGGATACTGGGAATGCCACGGAGATAGAAGGAAAGGAGAGCAGGATTTGGGAATAGGGAGCGGGATTTGGGACTGGGATTTGGGAATCGTGGGAATCCCGGCGATTCCCTGATTTATCCCGGCAATTCCCTGATTTATCCTGGCAATTCCCGGGTTTATCCCAGCGATTCCCAGGTTTATCCCGGCAATTCCCAGGTTTATCCCGGCGATTCCCTGATTTATCCTGGCAATTCCCGGGTTTATCCCGGCGATTCCCAGGTTTATCCCAGCAATTCCCGGATTTATCTCAGCAATTCCCGGGTTTATCCCGGCGATTTCCTGATTTATCCTGGCAATTCCCTGATTTATCCTGGCAATTCCCAAGTTTATCCCGGCAATTCCCAGATTTATCCTGGCAATTCCCAAGTTTATCCTGGCGATTCCCTGATTTATCCTGGCAATTCCCGGGTTTATCCCAGTGATTCCCAGGTTTATCCCAGCAATTCCCGGGTTTATCTCAGCGATTCCCTGATTTATCCCAGCAATTCCCAAGTTTATCCTGGCAATTCCCAAGTTTATCCTGGCGATTCCCTGATTTATCCTGGCAATTCCCGGGTTTATCCCAGTGATTCCCAGGTTTATCCCAGCAATTCCTGGATTTATCCTGCTGATTCCCAAGTTTATCCTGGCAATTCCCAGGTTTATCCCGGTGATTCCCAAGTTTATCCCGGCGATTCCCGGGTTTATCCCAGCAATTCCCAGGTTTATCCTGGCAATTCCCAGGTTTATCCTGGCAATTCCCAGGTTTATCCTGGCAATTCCCGGGTTTATCCCGGCGATTCCCTGATTTATCCCGGCGATTCCCGGGTTTATCCCGGCGATTCCCGGGTTTATCCCGGTGTTTGCCCACTCCCGGGATGAGCGGGAATGCCGAGGAGCTCCCGCTTAGAGCTGCAGGGACAGCGGAGCCTGCCGGAGGCAGCTCCAAAATCCATGGAAAATCCATGGGAAATCCACGGAAAATCCATGGGAAATCCACGGAAAATCCATGGAAAATCCTCTCTGGAGCCAGAGGAAAAGGGACAGGAGAGGAGCCGGGAATGGGAACCGGGAAGGGCCCTGGAAAAGCGGGCAGAGACCGGGACAGGGATTCGGGATCGGCTCCCAGAATTCCCAGTATTCCCAGTAACTCTGTAACAGCGTTCCCAGTATTCCCAGTATTCCCAGTAACTCTGTAACGGCGTTCCCAGAATTCCCAGTATTCCCAGTAACTCTGTAACGGCGTTCCCAGTATTCCCAGTAACTCCGTAACCGGGTTCCCAGTATTCCCAGTAACTCCATAATGGGGTTCCCAGTACTCCCAGTATTCCCAGTATCTCCGTAACGGGGTTCCCAGTATTCCCAGTATTCCCAGTAACTCCACAACGGGGTTCCCAGTATTCCCAGTATTCCCAGTAACTCCGTACTGGGGATCCCAGTCCCTGAGTGCCGGCACTCCCAGTTCCTGATCCCAGCGCTCCCAATTCCCTGGTTTTTGGGATTTCCTCTCCCGATTCCCTGGATTTTGGGATTCTCTCTCCCAATTCCCTGGATTTTGGGATTCCCTCTCCAGATTCCCTGGATTTTGGGATTTTCTCTCCCAATTCCCTGGATTTTGGGATTTTCTCTCCCAATTCCCTGGATTTTGGGATTCCCTCTCCCAGTTCCCTGGATTTTGGGATTTTCTCTCCAGATTCCCTGGATTTTGGGATTTCCTCCCCTCTCCCAATTCCCTGGATTTTGGGATTCCCTCTCCCGATTCCCTGGATTTTGGGATTCCCTCTCCCAATCCCCTGGATTTTGGGATTCCCTCTCCCAATTCCCTGGATTTTGGGATTTTCTCTCCAGATTCCCTGGATTTTGGGATTCCCTCTCCCAATTCCCTGGATTTTGGGATTCCCTGCAGGTGGAACAGGGAAAACCCAGCGGGATTTTCCTGCCCCATCCCAAATTCCCAAAAATCCCCCCTTGGGAACAGGGCCATTCCAAGGGCAGAGGGGCAGGATCGGGATCCGGGCTGATCCCGGAAAACCCGGAGGGGACGGAAAATCCCTCTGGAAGGATTTGGGGCTCATCAAATTCCGGAGTTTTCCACCCAAACCATTCCCAAAGGCCGACAGCTCCGGGGTTTGGGAAAAGGGGAATTTGGGAAAAGGGGAATTCAGGAAAAGGGGGATTTGGGAAAATGGGAATTTGGGAAAATGGGAATTTGGGAAAAGGGGAATTTGGGAAAATGGGAATTCAGGAAAAGGGGGATTTGGGAAAATGGGAATTTGGGAAAAAGGGAAATTTGGGAATTCCAGGGAATTCCAGCTGGGAATGGGAACCAGGGAATTCCAGCTGGGAATGGGATCCAGGGAATTCCAGCCGGGAATGGGATCCAGGGAATTCCCCTCAGGAATGGGATCCAGGGAATTCCAGTTGGGAATGGGATCCAGGGAATTCCGGCCAGGAATGGGATCCAGGGAATTCCAGCTGGGAATGGGATCCAGGGAATTCCAGCCGGGAATGGGATCCAGGGAATTCCAGCCGGGAATGGGATCCAGGGAATTCCGGCCAGGAATGGGATCTGAACTCATCCCAGTCAGGAATGGGATCCCAAATCCAATCCCATTCCAGCATTCCCAGGGATTTTTCCAGCCCTGGAATTCCATCCCTGAGCCTCACAATCCCTACAGGGGAGAATTCCTTCCCAAAATCCCAACAAGTTGTGGGAAGCCACTCCTGGAAGTGAGGGATGCAGGGAAAAAGGGGAAAACAATTCCTACAAATCCTCATCCCTAATTTTCCAACAATTCCTACAAATCCCCATCCCCAATTTTCCATAAAATCCTCCTCCTTCCCAAAAATCCCAAAAAATTCTCCCTAAAATCCTCCTCCTTTCCAAAAATCCCAAAAAACTCTCCCTAAAATTCTCCTCCTGCCCCACAGATCCCAAAAAATCCTCCCTAAAATCCTCCTCCTGTCCCAAAAAAACCTCCCCAAAATCCTGTTCCTATCCCAAAAATCCTCCTCCTTCCCAAAAATCCCGAAAACCTCTCCCTAAAATTCTCCTTCTGTCCCAAAAATCCCAAAAAATTCTCCCTAAAATCCTCCTCCTGTCCCAAAAATCCCAAAAAATTCTCCCTAAAATTCTCCTCCTGCCCCACAGATCCCAAAAAATCCTCCCTAAAATCCCTCTCCTGCCATAAAGATCCCGAAAAATCCCAAAATTTTGGCTCCAAGGGGTCTGATCCAGGTGCCAGCCCATCCCTGGAAAAGCAGGAGCAGGAAAATCGGGATGGGCTGAGCTGAGAGGGATTTTGGGGGGAATTTGGGATCTGGGGAGACCCCAGGGATTTTTAGGCCGAGCCCAAATCCTGGGAAAACTCGGGAGAAGCCGATCCAGGGCTCGGAATCCGAGGGTTAAGTGGGAAAATTTGGGATAATTTGGGATAATTCGGGGTCAGGATTGCAGCAGGAGCGGCAAAGGTGGGCGGCAAATCCCGGGAATTCCTGGGAATTCCCAAATCGGGAGAGAGGTGTTCCTGACATTCCTGAGGAAGGGTTGAGCTTTCCCGGGATTTTCCACACTGGGGGAGCCGGGATCTGCTCAGATCCCAAAAATTCCCGATCCAATCCTGGCCGGGGGGAGCTCCGGGATTTGGGGATAAAGGGATTCCCGGATCCCAAGAGCGCCGAGGGAATTCCAGGCTGGAATTCCGGGAGCCAGCAGAGAGCTGGGATCCAGGGAGAGACCGAGGTGGGAAAGGTGGGAAGGATCCTCGGGATAAAAGGAATTCCCATCTGGAATCTCCTCAGGATCCAGGAGGAATTG